CCCCAAAACCCCAAAACCCCAAAACCCCGTGACAAACTAATTTGGTTGAATTTAGAGAAAGACATCAGTTTTCCAACTTTGTTGAGTAAATTGTCTCCTTAATATTAGCTTTCGGCGACTATAACATGACTCAGATTGTATCTTCTCAATAATTTTTGGAAAAGGCTCTTTTCAGAAAAGTTCAAACTTAATTTGATTTTTTTTAATGTAAGTCTCAAATCTGATTTTGATATGGCATGCACGAAATTCTCAAGCTCTTGTGGGTTCTCTTCCCAGTGCATAAGTAAATTTTTACACCTTCGCTTGAAATTAAGATATTTTATCTTTGTTCCTTTGAGTCAAATGGAAAGGTCAAGAACTGTAGGTAGAGATATTATGCAGCCCATAAATGGGCAATTAAATTTTAGTTTATTGGCAGCAAATATTCTCTTGAATTGAGGTTCATTGATATTATAGTTTCATAGAAATACTTTTCCTTTGATAATGTGGCTACTTCTGGTTATCATCGGCATAAATTGATGAATATTCCTCAATATATCTGATGCTATTGCCAGTGAACCTAAATTTGTGGGACTAATACTTTCCATACAACTTCTTACATATTTTCAATTGGTGGTATAATTTTGAATTTGAACTCAATAAATATTTGCAAGAGGGATACCATTGATTTTCTTCAGCATTTGTATATCTTCCATAGCATCAATTTTAATAGAAACTAATTTATCTTTATTAAATCAACCCTTCTTAACCTTCATATTTATAGCAGAAGTAGACCAAATTTGTAAATTTATCTTACTCTCTTCCGATTCCAGAAATTTTTCAGCTTTTATTATTTGTTTATTAATGCATACAGTTGATATTAAACTCTGGTTTTGGGTGGTCTCCATTAGAGGCTCTGAGCTCTGCTTGTTTATAAAAGTATTAGGAATTGACTTGAGGTGTACAAACTAGAGAGTCTGTCTGATTATAACTTTTTTCAGCATTCAGAGAGCTTGCTTCACCATAGGCTGATTGGATTTTGTCTCTGTTCAAAAGATCTTTATGACTAATCTCTGCGTGCTGTCCCATCTTCCTTAATTGCTCAACATTTTCATCAAACAAGTCTTTATATTTGTTTAAAAGGTAATCAGCAGACTTTAGTAGAATGTCAAGGCTCCAGCTGATGCTTTGATTTTCATACATAAAATTTCCCCAGTCAACATCATCAGATTCTCCTATGGAAATTTTATGATTGGAATATGGAAAAATAGTGTCTCAAAAATAGAATCTTTATATAATTCTTTAGTCTTAATACTCTAATGCTATCACAGGTTTGAAAGAGATTGATCTCAACAGTGGTATTACGATACTTGAGAATAAGCTAAACAAAGGAATACAAAAATACTCAAATCTCTTCTGACTAATATTCATTACCTACTATCTCCAACTCTACCAAAGCTCAAAGGCTTATTGATAGTTTAGATGCAGAGGGCTAACCAAGAGGTGCAGACGCAATCAGTGCAAACAATTTATTGTTCTTAAAACATATCCTTACTGTTCCTAAACAAGGAGACATCCTCTTTAATGGCCACCAATGCCTTCTGGATTAGGGCAATCCTGACTGGAAATTTCAGTGATGGATGGTCTGAATACCTGGCAAGTGCTCTCTTTGAGCAGCCTAGGACATATTGGAGTTCCTTCAACTTCTGCATCTCTGAGCCATAAGTTTCTGGAGTGGCAGGAATTTGCGAAGATAGTTGGGCGGAGGAAGACTCCATTTATAATATCTTTATAATATTAGTTCAAGGTCTTTGCTTATATTGGGGTTTTGGGGTTTTGGGGTTTTGGGGG